CCCCCAGATCCCATGTGCCTCTCAGCTGTGGTGCACATCAGCTCCACATGGCAGGGGCTGTTTCGGGCAGAGAGGGCTTGATGGACCATGATCCCAGTGCCCAGGCAGAGTCCAGCAAGGGACAGAAAAGGGTATCCCAGCACCAGCATCCCAGGGACTCACTCATTACCTTCTCACCCTTTTCCCCCACTCCTCCAAGCCCCACGTCGACCTGTAGGGCAGAGAGGAGCTGTCAGAGCACTCGGGGCAGGGCAGCAGCCCGTGGGCAGGGAGAAGAGAGGGCAAAGCTTACAGTTCGTCCTGGGGGTCCAGTAGGTCCCTGAAAGAAGGGCAAGGGAAATGGGTTAAGAGGAGCTGGCATGGATCCAGGACTGTCTCTGGGGTGGGGGTCACACATGGCCCTGCATCACTCACCGGCTCTCCACGGTCACCCTTGTTCCCTGGTGCTCCAGGGCTACCCTGTGGGAAAGAGGGACTGGGTGAGAAGGGGAGAGAATGGGGGACCCGTGGTGTGGTGGAACCCCTGGGGTAAGTGTGGGTGCAGGGCAATGGGGTGTGAGGTGTGGTGGTGCCCATGGAGCAGTGGGCACACACAAGGGGGTACTCACGTTCCTGCCTTCAGGACCTGGGTCCCCTGGGTCACCCTTCTCCCCAGGGAGGCCACGGTAGCCAGGGAGGCCCTGGTTGGAGGGCAGAGGGAGGGTGTGCATTAGCAGGAGCCACCCCAAAGGCCACAGGCATCTCACCTACTCCAGGGTGTCCCCCAGCCCCACACTTACCCGGGGACCCCTGTCTCCAGGTTTGCCAGGTGGACCAGTTTCACCCTGTGGGGAAAGAGGGGGTGAGCGGGGGGCAGTGGAGAGGGGGACAGTGGTCCTGGTGGGCCCTCACTTACCGGGGTGCCTTCGTCACCCTTCTCTCCTGGTTCTCCCTGTAGCACAGGTCAGCGGGCACCGGCCAGGGTAGAAAAGCACAAGTCACCAGCATCCCCCTGCTCCCTGACAGCCCCTCATCTCCTCGGGGCCACAGTGCCCCATGGTCCCTGGTCCCACCTCCCTTTTGCCCCATACTACCTCCTTGCCTCGCATCCCAGTCTGCCCCGGGGTGCCCGCTCGGCCCGGCTCCCCCTTCTCCCCTGGCTCCCCCGGGTCGCCCTGGGCAAGGGAAGAGGCAACAGGTCAGGGCAGCATGGGGGCAGCACAGGGGCTGCCAGGGGGAGAAGAGGCACAGCCCCTCCAGAGTCCGATGGACAGATGGATGGATGGACAGATGGATAGAGGGCAGAGCTTCCTGCAGTGACAGTACCTTCGGGCCACTCCTGCCTGTGAGGCCAACGATACCCTGGTTGTTGAAGAGAAGAGCATGTGTCACCAGGAACCTCAGTGACCCCGTGCCAGGGTAGGGACCAGGATCATGAGCCAGTGCCCTGGGGTGCACTCAGACTCACCCGATCGCCCTGCTCGCCTTTGGGACCGGCTGGTCCCGGGATGCTCAGGCCAGGGGCACCCTAGACAAAAAAGGATGCAGCGTGTGGGGCAATGGCACAGGCACCGTGAGTCCAGGGAGGTCTGTGCTATGTGCCCTGTGCCTTCCATCCTCAGGCAGTACTCACACGGGCACCTTTATCTCCTGTATCGCCCTTGGGGCCAGGAGGTCCTTCTGGTCCTGGGAATCCTCTGTCACCCTGGAGCAAACAAAATCAGCATGCCAAACCACCCCCTTTTTCCCCACTGCAGCTGTGGACAGCCAGGCCTGGGACTAGGACAAGCATCCCCTCAGGTCAATGCCCAGCTGTGCAATCCCCCTCCCAGGCCATGGCCATGCCCAGAGGACAGGAGGGCACAGCTAGGGCAGGGTTACCTTCTCTCCTCCAACACCAGCCACGATAGGAGCCTGGGGGGGAAGCAGAGGAGACCATGCTGGGTGCTGCCCGTTGCTCCCTGTCCTGGGGCTGGGACAGGCAAAGGTGGAC